ATGATATAAAAAGATGTTTATTAGTTATATGATATAGTTGCCCGATCTGGACAATATATTCGGTGATTGTAGCAGCACTTCGAAAAATAATCCGTATCAAATTTCGTGAAGATATCTTGTCAAGGAATTGGATTTTGATCGTTTGATTTGTAGGGCAGCTATATGCTATAGTTACCCGATCTGGACAATTTCTGTGGAGATTATGCCGTTGTTTTTAACAATAATCCATACCATACCATACCATTATGCAGATATCTTGTCAAATAAAAGAGTTTTCCATACAAGGGGTTGATTTTGATCGATCAGTTTGTTTGACCAATTGGAAAGCCATACAACGGCCGTGGATGCACCGTGATTGTTTCTTCACAAACCATTAACGAAAGTCAAAATAAAAGAAAATATTTATTTATATGTTTTATATGTGATATAGTAATATATGTTATATGTTGATAACTTTGAACGAACCGAAATATGGTTCAAATTCCGTAATCGGTTGATTTTTTTCTTCTGTCCGAGAGTTGTAATACGAGAAAAGTCTTTTGAAGAGATATATGGGTGATGAATTCGAAGATCGTGATGTACATATGTATATTGCTGTGTAATTAATTTCTCCTCGGATCTTGTTCCCAAGGTGAAGAGTTTTTTTGTCGATAGAATAGTTAAGGCAGCAAATTAAATCCGTACTATAGGAATAAGGATTGACTCTAAAAACTGAAATATTCGGGATATTTATTCATTTTCTTACATTATTGTTATCGCCTTCAAAATAGTCCCCATATTATGCACTTAAACAATTTCATTCAATTGTCAAAACACATTTTAAACTCAATTTTTGGGATAGCCTTTAGCTCTTTCAGCGTTTTTTTTATCTACTTCATAAAACGAAAGTCCTTTAAGGTTTTCTTTATTTTTGGATATAGGAAAAAGCCACACGCAGCATGTCTGGCGAATATGGAAGCTGGGGAATATATAGTTACAATATTAATCGCCAAGTTCATAAGAACACGTCTAACCGTAGCGGCTGCTACAGACAAAGTAAGCAATGAACACAGCTGATTTGTCGTACTTGAGGGACATGAATGTATATCAACATAGCAGTGCAGAGACTTGATTGTAGAAATAGTTACAAATAAATGAACAGATGAGAAATGTAAAACAACGAATCCAAATTCATAAGGTTTTCGCGAAGTCACACGAGCTTCTACAAAAAGTGCTGTGAAATATTCGTTATTAATATGAAATTTTGCTGTACGTAAACCTAGAGCTTTGGCAACAGTTATTCTTTTACGCAATTGAGACATGCAAATCTACTTTAAGGTGCTTTACTGGAATAACTGCGAAGTGTCGTAGGAAATGGTTAGCAAATAGGCAATATTAAGCAACGTCATAAAAATGCGCGACTGACGCAATTACCTGATTGCAAACTTTATATGTACATATGTATTAAGGTGTCCGATATTTTCAAAGTTAATTATTTTTTGGAAAAGCTCTCTGAAGTTTCAGTTTTTGTCCTAAAGAACAAAAAATTCCATGTTAGATATATGGGAATAGTAAAATGATTTAGGCACTGTTAAAATTGAAAGCTGAGTGTAAACCCTATAAAATATACTATATAAGTAGGTAAATAATCAAAATGACGAGCAGAGTCGATTTATCCATGTTCGTCTGTCTGTCCATCTGATCGTCCGTCTCTCTGTATATACGCGAACTAGTCCCTCAGTTTTTGAGATATCGATCTGGAATTTCGCACACGTCCTTTTCTTCCCAAGAAGCTACCAACTTGTCGAAAACGACATCCGACCACTATAGAATATAACTGCCATACAAACTGAACGATCGGAATCAAATGCTTGGATGGAAGACTTTTTCATTTGACGAGAAATCTTCTTCTTGATTTAGGCAATGGTGCAATCTCGGAAAAAATTTTTTAGTTCGAGTCACTATAGCACAAAGCTGCCATGCAAACTTACCGGTCAAAGTTTTTATAAGGAATATTTTGTACATGTGAAGGGTATTATAGTTTCGGTGCAATCGAAGTTAAAGTTGTTTCTTGTTTTAGGACAAATATTAAAAATTCAGAATCCGTTCGCAAAACAAACATCAAGTTGGAAAATAACGGACACCCTAATATATACAAATGCACTCGTGCAGAGAATAAATGCAATGAAGATACAAGCAACAATTTGTTGCATGCGCGATAAAATGGAAACAAACGCAATAACAAAGCAACCGTAAAAAATGCGCTCAAAACTAAAGCATGAAACACTTAAAATGATAACAAGTAAGGTGGGGTGGAACTCGAACGTAACCGAATATTATGACAATTTAATTGGTTTTACTCTTGTTCAATTGAGAACACTTTTCAATGACACAGACACAAGATATGTTGCCATCTTGTGTCAGTAAATGGAATCGAATTTAACAACCCTGGTAACTTCTTAACTGTCGAAATACGTGACGTTTCCTTATTGAATTCATAATCAAAACTTGATATGTGATACTGAAGCTTGATTGGTATTAAAATCGTATATTCAAATGTTCAATATTCTAGAATTATGGGTTAGGCTTGAAAACCTCGAATTCAATATCCGCACTCTTTTCATACATATGTTTAATTGTATTATTTAATAAAAATATTATATATAAATATTATACTATTTCACGTCGAACTTGTTTATGCAGTTTGGGGACTTTAATTTTGAAGATTTTGTATTTGGGATTGAATTTGTAGGGGTTTCTGGGCTCTCCCTTTGAAAACAGCTAACAGAGCATTATTGAATTTGCTACGATACCCGCCCGATGGTTGGATTTTTTTTTGTGAAAATTGTGATCTACGCATACAAGAGCTGCGCTGGAGCGCGAATAATCAAATACATTGCGCGCTGAGAGTAACGGCAAGCAATGCATGCGAATTTTGACGCACATGTACACACTTTTGCACTAACACATTTTTGCCATTTTACAACATTTCCACAAATCAACGACTGCGGCGACTGCGACTCCGACGTTGTCACGACTTTTGCGATCGCCGATGATAAAGCGAATTTGTGGCAACACGGCTTGGAAAAATTGTGTAATAAATTGCCACAAATTAGCGCCACATACAGCGAGAGCAGCAACGCCACGCGAATTGTGACCCATGTGTCGTAGAGCAACTGCTGACTTTTTGCATAAAAAGAAAAAAGTAGCAAAAAGCTTCGAATGCGGGCGGACGGCATGGGCTGACGGGGGTGAGGTGTGAGTGCAATTTTTGACAGTGAGACGATAAATAGACAAAACACTACCCAGCGCATTTGAAATGCAACACTGTGATATCACTGTCAGTGTCGCGAATCGCACTTCAGCCACATGTTATGTTCGCTTGAGTGTATGTTACCCACTCTTTCACTAACCTAATAAATTTTAATATTTTTGACGCTCCGCCAATCGGCGCGCAGTTTTGTCTACGAAATTAGTGGATTTTGTATAATTTGTGTACAAACAGAACGTCACATTGAATTTTGACTTTTCGGACCACCGCAGTTTCTGTGCCAAATTAATTTGTAGTTGTCTAAATAAGGTTCCGAAATCAATGCGGCTACGCTTGTAACAGTAGGCCGTGTTTCCTTTGTATGTTCAGAGCTCTATTTTCCGCAAGTATATTTGCTTAGTCACTGTGCGTTTGCCCAAATAGGTGCTACTAATTGCTACAAATTTAGCGGATACAATTGGAATTCGAACAAATCACTTAAACAAATTGATAGTAGATACTAAATAAGTAAATATATTTTGAACATACTTTAATATAAGCAATACGTGGGATTCTGGGCTTTAAAACTTGACTAAATTTAATGGCAATTATTGCAAAATATTTCCATTAATTTTTTAGTTTCCACTCTTTCTATAAATTGGCCGAATGCTTCATAACCAAGCCCCTTTTCAGAGTAACCTTGCTCTAACAGTATTTTCTATAATATTTATGCATATTCAATATTTTCAAAATGCCAAATAAAATGACTAAAATTTGACTTAGTGAAAACAATTCAAATAACAAGTGTTAGACATAAATTATACCCTGAACAAGGTATATAAAGTTTGCCACAAAGTTTGTAATAACCAGCATGAAACATCGGAGACCCAATAAAACATATACTATGTATACAAATGCTGAGTCGACTTAGTTATGCCCGTCTGTCTGTATATAAGTGAAATTTCCACACAAGCTTTTTTCTTCCAGAAGCTGCTCATTTGTCGGAAGCGTCGATATCGGACCGCTTTAGCATATAGCTGTCATGCAAACTGATCGAACCAAATCAAATTCCTCTATCAAAAACTTTTCTACATGACAAAATATCATTACGAAATTTTACCTAGGTTACATTACATTGTTCAGATCGGATTACTATAGCATATAGCTACGGTCAGTTTGTGTCCGATCAAAATCTCAAGCTTATTTGTAAAAGGTATTATATGTAGCTTCGGTGCAACTCAAAGAAAGGGTCTCATATTGATGTATGTATGCGTAAAAACCAATGGGTTTCATTTAAATTATTATATAATAAAATAATTTTTATTTGTTTACAATGTTGAAGAATGTGGTTGATTTCTACGAGCTCGCACTTGATATGGACACAGGCCTATGAATTTTGGTCGTCCATTAAAAAAGTTTTTCTTACATATATCCAACCTCAATATCTAACCGAAATCCAAATATACTTAATAGAAAAAGTTATAGGAGACGCCGACATTTGTAATGCGGGTCACGTACGCGTGCGCAGTTTGTGCGCTGTGTTCGGCCTATGTAAACGATTGTAAGCATAATTTGCAATTATTATTAAGAAGTCAGAGTTTATTTTGATTTTTCTTTATAAGCTATAATAAATAAGTGTCAATATTTTGAAACCTTCGACTTTGATTGACTTTAGCATTTCAATTTCTTACTAACATTTCATCTATACGCCAACTTAGTAGACACATAATATAGTGTTTGCTTTATTTCCCATACGATTTCGCTTACTTACCTTCTTGTACAAGTTTCTTACACACTGGTCGTGCGTTGACCGCCTTGAAACCCGAAGAATATGAGCAATTCACGTAACTCCAGTAACGTTGTTGGTCGGAAATGAATTCCGGATCGAATGGATCATCGCAGAAGCCACCATTGGATACATCTGTTGAGCAGCGCCAACATTTTAGCAAAGCGTCGACTGAAATTGAAAATATTTAAAATCAATATTCATTAAAACTTTGAATCGAAAGTAGGTAAATAAGATTTTAACGGTGAATATGAGTTTTCACGACATCTATTGATTTTTTTTGTTGTTTTGTTTTTCACAATATAAATAACCATATACAAATAATTAATATATATTATTATTCATTGTTATATTTTAGATTTTTAATTGAACTGGTTTTTGAGTATATTTAAAATAGATCTGATATTGAGCTTATATGCAGGATTTGATGAGATTGACACTACCTCTATGTAAGATAGGCACCCCTACAACTTTATGTCAACGTAATAATATTTACGTTCGCCCTTGATTGCTAACAATTTAACAGTAAAATTTGTATCACTGCTATATTGGTGTCGAATTCCGCATGCCATCTCAGCAGGTTGATTAGTATGAACATGATTGTCAGTGAGGAGCTAAAGAGGAGAAGCCAGAATTTTTTCGTCTCTAATTTTTGTAACGTTACCTGTCAGGAAATTCAAGGAGGCCTGGTCCGCCCACTTGATGACCCTGTATGCCCTAAGGGTTTCCGAGGAGTCAAACTCCGGGTGGGGACCCGGTTAATATTAGACTCGACAATCTAACGTCTATCATCATTCATCTCTCCTGAATGGTGTTTGGCGAGAAGGAGTTTTCGTCTATAATGGACACCTGGATACTGTCTCTAGCCACATCACTGAAGTGTCTTGCTGTATTTGTTCTGTTTAGCTCGGCTCCTGCTATTTGAGTTTTTTGGACAGAGTTTCCATCATTTCGTTGTAGGAGTGGTTCTTTTGTGGGAGCTGCTTAATTTGTCGGTTTCCGGGGGAGGCTCCGATCGCTTCCTTTTCAGGAAACTTTCGTATTCCTCGGCTATCTGTGTTTAACGCTTCATCTGCTCTAAGCCAAATGCGGTGCCAGCAGCCTGTTCTTTGGCTATGTTCTCGAGTACAAAGATTTTTTCCTCTGGTACCGGCTTTTTATATTATTTCCACTTCTTGCGCTGCACTTCTTTTTTAGCTGCCAGTATACTCTGGTTGGTACTTTTGTTTGCTTTGAAGGTGGATGGTTCCATATTTAAGTTTTGGGTAATTTAGTTGATACCTTCAATTTTACAGCATTCACTACTGGCGTACTTTGGCCGGTCCATCCGGTAGTACTCTTTATCGTCTACTGACTGGAGGCGAGGAGGTTGTCTTCATCGAATTCCGTTATAGGAATGCGATATGTCGCAATGTTTCTCGTTGTCCCTGTAATTGAAGTGTCATCTGTTGCTGTTGTTGTTTTGTTATCATTGTTTAGGTTCATGTTTGATCCCATAAGTCAGCCGGAAAGGGTTGGTCATTCGTCCGCAGAGCCGGTATGCGTAGAAAAGGCATTTATTACCACCGACCTCGATGGGCATCGGAGGGGCCGTTTGCGATCAGCTACTTGCTTACCGCCCGCTGAACATTCAACCATCAGCACGTTTACCTCGGAACATTGGCTTAGGGTGGTGTTGATGCATCCACATCCGCATATTGTGTGAATTATGAGGTCTTAGTTCATTTCCATTAGGAATGCACCCATAACTATTACTTAAATCCCTTCACCGCAGCAAGGCGACCAACACTGATTTATTAGAGAAAGTAAAGGGAGAGTTTCATATCATATTTGCCAACAGGAAGAAAAATAATGGAGATACCGTATAGCTTCATTGACCTGAGCTGCTATGGCGAGTTTCAAATAAAGACTTTAATTGAACGGAACATGAAATTAGTTTTGGAATTAAAGTTCTAAAAAACTTGTTTAGTTAAAATTTAGTTTGATGCTACAAATTTCAAAATGAATATACTCGTACTTTATCTGTATTACAATTCAAATCAAATCTCATCAAGCTGTCTGTACTCACACAAGCTTTTATAAAGATTATGTTGTTTAAATGCATCACATTTAATTATCTGCTGAACAAAACAACGCTTCAAATTATATTAATTTTACCACCTAACACGTGGAACAGCATTCGTTTCGAAAGCTCACTTACAAAAGCTATTACGTGCATAAAATTTTGAGTACGATAAGATATTGCTCATCGATTAATGCATATTTATGAAGAATTGAATACGAGTATCTCAACATTATGCAAATGAGCTATTTATTTAGAAAATATTTATTCATCTAAGTAATGCATAATTATATTGAATTTATATTTATTGGGCACGACATAACGTTTAGCAATTTACTGCGGCCTACGCCCTTAAAACAGGTTGAGAGCGTGATCTAGATCATGAGCACTATGCACTTCGCACAAATAAATGGGTATAATTATTGCATCCATTTCGATCGAAAAATATTGCGTTGATGTTAATTACATCGTATCGAAAATAAAATTTTCGAAGAAGTTGAACTCACTTGCCGACTCGATAAAATACATTTCGTGGCTAATAGATGGCGATGATTTCGAAATCATTGAAACCGCAAAATCGAGAATATTCGTTGAAATATATCCGTTAATAAGTGAGTTGCGAAAGTTTGAAGAAGTAGAGCATTTTTAGGAAGTGTGGACTTGTGAACATAATAAAGTGTCACTTAGACATACATAGCTAAGAGATTTTCGCAAAGAACACCAGCCGAAATAAATACTCTTTGGGATGATACTTCACAAATGTAAAGCGTTATAGGCCCACCAACCAAGGGACAAAACTAGATGGAAAAATATATGAAAAATCTTCCACATTTATACAATCGGTTAATATCGGTTCATTTTTAATATTGCACCAATTTAAAGCTTCGAGTTTAAAAAAAATATTCTAAAATTCAAAACTCTGGAACTGGGGGTGGACCCTTCGGCGAAGTAACTTTAAGTTTACTCAAAGAGGGGGTCGGAATTACACTTTAATTAAAAGTTTTGGATGTTCATCACTAACTGCAACAAATATTTCGGAAATCAATTGATGCAATTTCTTCCAAGCCCCGAATTCAAAATAAATCATTAAATTTAACGCTTGACTAGACATTGGCAGATGCTGATGTATCCTGTACAGGGTGTACAAGAATCCCAGCAAATAACTATTCAAAAATGGATGGAGGTAAATGTTTAAAAAGTAAGAGCGAGCATGCTCGTGAACACTCGGAAGCAAATAGACAAATATATTTGTAATAATCTAATAACAATAAGAAACCTCCTATTTAAGAATACCATTAAATAAAAAAAGTATAAAAAGTAAGTGTGTAAACACCACATTATTATTACAGCACTGATTACGAAACTAAGAGAGTGATTAGTTTGAATGCGAACCTTGTCCGCGTGTATCTAGCGAAACTGGCATGAATTTAATTTTAAAAGGGCGTCTTCAACTCTTAAACGTGGCTCATTACTTCGCCACTAATTATTTTAATTGTCTGTGGAACAAAAAGGAAACCGTTATTTTTCAGTTTAGTGGAATCAGGTTAAGAATGAATGCAAAGCCGAACACGCATTGAAGTAATTAGAACGAAAGTAAAATGTAACAGTTGCTTGTAAGAATGTAAACACTCAATGCTTAGCATGAAGAAAGGAATATATTTATGCTTATACATTCTCTGAAGTTTTATGCGAAAGTTTGCCTTATATACATTTAATTTGGCCGCTTTTTCGCTGCCCACATACCACATAGCGGAGAGTTGAGGGTGGGTAGAAGCCACTGGAGTAGAGGATTGAGCTTCTTTCATTCAAGGCTGGTTAAGAAATGCCTAAACTCGTTATCAATTACATCGAGACACTTTGTGATAACACTACTATGAGTGCTACGCCGCAGCGGAATCGCAGGTTACCGCAAAGCTGATATTCTAGCAAGGAAATGAACCCTAGCTCCGCTGTCAGTTGAGTGGGAACGGATCATACAGTGAGCTATTTGCCCTCAGTTAGGCTAACCTCACCCTAGTTGTTATGGGGGTTCTAACAGGCCATTACCCTAACGGGGTCTACGCTGTAAGGTTCAGCATTTTCCCAGATTCCAGCTGCGGAAGCTTTATGGAAGGCGATGGGGTGAAAATATCCCAATACATTCTTCTTGATGGTCCCGATTTGCATGGTCAAGACTTAAACACTTGCCTTTAAACACAACCATATAGTACGCTTAGTGCGATCCCTGGTTCAGCCATTGAACCTAACCAGGCATAAGGCGTGCGTGAGAAAAAATCCGAAAATGTTTAAAAGATGGCAGCACTATTTGTTGTGATTGGTTTTCCGTTATTGTTCTATTACACATTCTTATGTTTATCGTTCCTCGTACCAAGAGCAAATTTATTTAAAGGTAACAAATCGATAGCCTGTTTTGTACACTTACCGGCAAAATCAACAAAATACAATTACAAAAAAGTTCCAAATGTCCAAATCGACAATATACATACGATGTTATAAATAGACTTGAACAACGTTTGACTATGGATAGAGTAAATGGGTCTGATCGCCCAATGGTCCAAAATTCCCAGAAGTCAAAAGAAGCGTGATAAATTTAAGGCGAATTCAAATGCTTCAGGCAGAGATTTGGCATGCAAACTTAAAGTTTCCGAAAAAATTATTACAAAGTGTAAAAATCTTGCTGGATTGATAACGTACTTATGTGGTTGTGTAATTACAGCAAAAATTCGAGCGAGAAAGTTGTACACAGAATTGTTAACAAAGTTTAAATGTGTTTTGATGGACGATGAAATGTATGTCAAAACAGATGCAGTTAAGTAAAAAAAACTTGATGTCACAATTGGAAAAGGTAAAGGAAAATATTAAGAAGTGGAAATGGAAAAATATGCCTCAAAATTTATCGTTTGGCAAGCGATCTGCTCATTTCGTAAAAAAAAACAGAATCATTTGTTACTAATTTTCTCACACAATTTTATTAGTGCAGTATGCAGCCGGACGATAGGCAAGTAAGTTAATTAAAACCTTTACATATATACGCAATCATGCATTTGCCGTTATCCTTATAATATACATATGTTTTAAATTTCTTCACACTTCTCGAAGCTTTGGAAATTACAAGAGTACAAGGAAAAGGTTCATACATATATACATATATAGATATGCTCTTAAATGAACTACATTTGTATTTGCTTGCAAAAGGCGGCGAGTTTACACAACACGCAAATTTATCACCATCGGGTATCGGGTGGTCACTTAACTGTATATCTAGTACTAATTCATATACCTACATCAGTATATATATGTACTTCGTTATTTGAGATTGCATGCTCATAGCAACGAGATATTTTAGCTTAGCATAAACGTCATAAAGCGCAAGAAAATGATTTAGTCGCTCGCTTAAATTTAAATTAATGAGCGCAATGGGAATTTTAGATTGGCCACTGAGATTACGCCGTATGCTTTGTAGCTCGTAGTGATCATATTCGAATATACCTAAGCAACAAGTACTCGTGCGGATAAATTAACTATTTTACAAATAGTATTTATCGCAGACACAACCAGTCAGTCGAATCCTTACTTTTTCCATTTATAACGGTTTTTTGTACCCCAATATCGTTCAATGAAATGAAAATTGTCAGATTTTAGTCAGAAGTATACCAGTTTAATACTAGTTCAAAGCAGATGATTCAATTTATACTTACGCAAAAATTTTAGCCGGGATCTAGTTCAAGTACTCCAAGTTTTTATTGAAAATATACTGAATAACGACGTAACTATGTGCTTTAGGGTGACTAACTCTTATGAAAGTTGTATACGTAAATATGATGCTTTTTAACTTAGTTTGATTTGCAATGAAAATTCGGGACTGCAACTAGTATATTTTTCCTGACTAGATGGTAATTGTGTGATAGGTAGTTAGAATGACTTGCATAAGGCATAAACTTATATACATAGTATAATATATATGTACATACTTACACTATATACACATAATAAGTCTAAACCAGATTTTTTTTATTTTCTACATTTTTCAAAGCGCATAAACCACATAACTGTCAATATGTTTTGATACTGGTTGACTGGTAACTAATTTGACAGTTTTGTCTCCCAGTTGAAATATTTGACAGGTCTGTGAGACAACTATTGCTGCGCTTATAAAAATGTCAGTGGTGGAGAGTTGAGTTTTAATAAAAATGTCTACACCGTACTGCTCTAGAAAATACGGTAAAAATAAAAGAGATCTGTGAACAACAGAGTTCGATATTTCTATTTTGTTTATAAAATGCCTAGACTCGCATGTTGAACCTAACTCAACGTTCGCATTTACATACTGGCTCAAAGCGAGTAGCGGCTTTAACACACTAGAGCTGGCTTAACAGGTTGTTGTGCTTGTTTTCGTAGCCGAAAAGGTGACAACAACACCACAAACTCATATAATAACTCGGTTATATACATGTGTATATAGGTATATATATTGAGCTTTGTTTACAGCGGAACAGGTGGCATGCTATTACACTCTATCAGTCTCACATCAATTAGTGAGACACTTTGTTCGGCCGCGCGTGCTGTGGACTAAGTGGTATCCACCTGTGTTATACATTTGACATTGGCTTGGTGAATATATCTTATTAGCATGTGGATACACTTCCTCGTGGCCAGGGAACTGGAGTTGAAAGCAAGGAATTGGCTGTGGATTGAATGCACTTATCGGAAAAACGATTTTGCAAAGGGCGCTTTGGAACCGAAAAGCGTTTATTCAAAACGCCAGAAACCACCACGATTTGTTTGGCTAAACTCTAAGTATGCCGTTACTGTCACTCGTCATATGGCGCGCACAACTTTCGCTCGATTGAAACGTTTCGCAGTCGTCGAGGTAGATGTGAGCAAGAGAGAAGAAACGTAAGAGCAGAAGCTGGTCTTTCTTAAACAAATATAATATTATAGTAGAGATAGAAGAGAACATATTTTTCATATATTTTAATAGTTGATAATCTATTGTAATTTAATATATTCTTGGTGTGTATTTATAACATTGTAAATCAAAAATACAAATAATTTGCAAACGATTAACTAATTTTTCTCAAATAATTATTCATCTAAAAGGGCATTTAGAGGTTCGCTTTGGAAAGCTACATCAAAACCTTCGGCAATTTCTTAGATAAATTGTTTTTTTTTTTGTTTTTGGATTATGAATACGAAACGTCGAAGACCGTATAAACTGTACTCGTATATATACCATAAATGTACAGGAGGATATGCTGAGTCGATTTAGCCATGCCCGTCTGTCCGTCTGTATATATACGAACTAGTCCCTCAGATTCTGATATACCTATGTATCTGAATTTTCGCACACGTCCTTTTCTCACCAAAAAACTGTTCGTTTGTCGAAATGGTTGATATCGGACAACTATATATGGCAGGTATATGCTAGCCATACAAACTGAACAATCGGACTAAAGCGCTTTTTCTTTTTGAGAGATATCTTCAAGAAATTTGGAATGAGTTATTGTCTAAGGCAACGATGCAATTTTCGAAGAAATTATTCAGATCGCATCACTATAGCATATAGCTGCCTCATAAACTGACCGATCAAATTTAAGATAAATATCTTTTTATACCTTTTAATGTTATAAAAAAATGCACCTGTGAAGAGTATTATAGCTTTGGTGCAGCCGGTGGACCGACATGCGGACGAAAATTAATATTTGTGTTACAATGGCGCGTACAAATATTGGAACTGATGTTATCAATTAATTGAAAGCGGTATTGAAGTGAGTATAATCGCTTCGATGAACTTATGATTGCTTATCATCAATGGTTTTAAAAATATCAAAATTATCAGAATCAGCTTTAATTTTGCCTAAAGTCCCTTGTAGTTTTAGTTTAAAATTTTCGATGCTGAAAGGTTCTGCAAGATTTATGAATGTATTCTAGCTAACTGTATTCGACCCATCATCGAGAACCGTTTAACCTTTTATTGAAAGTTTCGACAGAATTCACTGTTGATTATTATAGATTAAAAGTGAAATGGTGTGTCGAAAGGGCAGTGAACTCCGCTAATAACTCATTCGTACATATTTACAAAGAGTTATTTAAAGTAAAATACCATTATGAGGGCTTTTGTATATATCTAAATTGCAAATGCGAATAAGTTTTGTGAAAAATTTGTGCAACATGTGCAATTGCATAAGTTATAACTGCACACATATGTAGTACATACGAGAACGTACGATTTGCATTATGAGAAATAACGAAAGACAACGAACGATTTGCGACAAACCTTGCAAGCAAGTGCAAAATTTCCCGCACTAAAAGAAAAACTGTTGCTCGCCACGATAAGTATTTAAGTGGAACATATGTATATACAAATGTGTACGTGTGTGTATGTAGTATGTAGGTATGTACAAACTATAGAAATTATGGTAATTTATAAATTATCGTAAGACGTTTTTGTGAAAAAGAAAATGCGCAAAAATGATAATTACAAAGCAAAGTAGCAGCCTATTGTAGAAATAATTATTAGTAAATTCGAAAATTTCTTTTAAACTGTCAATTGCGTGGGTTTGAAGTGAACTAATTTGGGCAGTAAATGCACTGAGTGTATTTGAACTTTACACACACACATACTTGTATATATGTTTGATTATTTATTTGGCTCTTGCAATTTTTATACTCTCGCAACATGTTGCAGAGTATAATAGTTTTGTTCACCTAACGATTGTTTATATCATTTAAAACTATATATGTACATTTATACAAATGATCAGGATAACGAGACGAGTTGAAATCCGGGTGAATTTCTGTCCGCCCGTCAGTCCATCTGTCCGTGCAAATGATAGTTTCAGTAAAAATTAAGATATCTTGATAAAACTTGGTACACGTGAATATGCTCCTAGCCCCCATTTATCAAATATAAGAATTTTCAAATATACGGCCAACTTTATAACAAACAGATTGGTAAATTTATCAGTCATCTTACTAATCTAATGGTATGTCGCAACACCCAAATTGCTATTAATAAAACTCAGAGAGCATCTTTTTTTGGTAATGATATGTCAAAATAAATAAAAACTGTTGATACTACCCGTAAGCTCCATATACCCAATATAATAATTTCAAACTTCTGGTTGGCTTTATATCGTACATATCGATGAATCTGCGAGGTATCTTAGATATTAAGTGAACATAACATAACACTGGCCACACATTACCATAATGTTGAAAATATGTGAAATCCCATCCCCTATAACCTCAGCTCCCATATACTACAAGTATAAGCAAATATTTACGTTATTTTAGCAGACTCTATTTCGAATATATCCCCACCTTTGATCTTCGCGATTCGCGAGAGTATAAAATGTTCGGTTACATCCAAACTTAGCCATTCCTTATTTGTAAACTTTATTTTCGCATGGATTCTCTATGTTTTTTACTCACCCCTTGCCACACATCAATTTTAGCATTCTCATGCAAATTAAGGCAATCTTACTCGTGCAATAAGTAGGTATGTACGCACCAATGACAAATATACATACATTGGTATGTATGTGATTACATCCACCCACTCATCTGCACCACAAAGATTCGCACGATATTTCAACTTTTAAATCCAGATTTTTTGCACGTTTTTCGGTGGCTTATTTAAATGAGACATGACAGCGGCTAGTTACGTACCACAGTAATGACATTCGGGCCACGAAATACGCTAACTTTGTAATTACATATGTGCACTTTTATTATGAACATCAATTTTTATACCCTGGACAGGGTATATTAAGTTTGATGCGAAGTTTGTAATACCCAGAAGAAATCGTAGGATACCCAATATATAAGTACATAGTGTTAGCCACGTTCGTCTGTCTTTCCGTCTGTATATACGGGAACTAGTCCCACATTTTTTGAGGTATCGATCTGATATTTTGAACACGCCGATATGAGATCACTATAGCACATAACTGCCATACAAACAGATCGATCAAAATTAAGTTTTTGTGTACAAAGCAAT